GGGGAGTCCTTCACAACCGAGATTTTTTTCAGTCATTCATATTTTATATTGTCCTATTAAGTGTTAAAATGGACATTTAAGAAGTAAACAAAGTGTACTATGGTATCTTGAGGAGACCACTCGTTTAATAAAAACACTCACTTGCAAGTTTCTGACAACACTATTACTACTGAACCACATACACACAGACTGAGCCTTGCGGCCATGTGGTTGTGGCTGAGGGACCAAGCACTGCAATGGTTTATTAAGGAGGAAATATCCCCACGGTTCCACAGAGCATTTGCCTCCCAGTGTTCCCCCAAGCATTACAAGGTATTGCCCCAGAAGTGCTGAGCCAAGAGAGCCCAGAAAGCAGGGCTGCTAAGAACTTGGAGCTACCCCACCAAACCATAACTTGATTGACAGTAAGAAGAAACTAAAAAGGAAGATTATTAACTAAGTTTCTAACTAGCTATTAAGAGGAAGTTAAGTCCAGTTTGCTACAGAGAGTAGCAAACTTTTTTCAGTTCACACCGCTTATCATACTCAGCTATTCCCCGTCTTTGATAATACTGACATTTGTAAGTTGCAGCCAAGAGAGCCCAGAAAGCAGGGCTGCTAAGAACTTGGAGCTACCCCACCAAACCATAACTTGATTGACAGTAAGAAGAAACTAAAAAGGAAGATTATTAACTAAGTTTCTAACGAGCTATTAAGAGGAAGTTAAGTCCAGTTTGCTACAGAAAGTAGCAAACTCTTTTCAGTTCACACCGCTTATCATACTCAGCTATTCCCCGTCTTTGATAATACTGACATTTATGTAAGTTGCATAAATTACAAACCACCATCACTACAAATACAGGTTGTTCTGGAAAGCAATTTAAACAATTAGAAGTATTTATTGCAAACCAGCTTCTCTCTTCTACCATTTACAAGGCAGCCAGTAAAAGTAAACACACGTGACCAGAGAAACATTCATGAAACAAACTGATTTAATTAAAACCGAAAAGGAAAACATACTGCAGGAATAAAAACTCCAGATACATAGCAATTACTAATTATGAAGCTGTTGATTGTCTTGGAAAAGCATTTGGTAATTCATGACCAAGTATTCAGCCTTGAATTCTGAGGGAGAGGGAGGGAACAACCATGACCTTCCAAGTCCTTCAGCACCACCGCACATAAAACTGTACTACTTGATATATTTTTCCATGAACTTTTTGTGAAATTCTGATCGCAGAGTATCATTCACAAATCTTTTGTCTTTTTTTGTTTCATCTATCCCCTTGGCACAATTCTTGAAGACAACATCATCATCCCATCTGAAAACAAAAGTTTTTAACTTCAGTAAGTTTGTATGAAAGTTAGGTGCACTTTACAAAAATATATAAATGAAGTCTGGCCCTCCTATTTAAATGTAGTAAGAACAACTAGTCATTAGGATTAGATTTTAGTCTTTAAGAAAAAAAGATCTATTTTTCTAATCCAAGCCATCTCCTACATGCTCCTGAGTTAGAAACGAGATCGGTATCAGTAGATTAAAGGTTATTTTTTCTTTACAGAAAATGACCATTTGAAGAGCAGAATATTTTTCTAATCCAAGCCATCTCCTACATGCTCCTGAGTTAGAAACGAGATCGGTATCAGTAGATTAAAGGTTATTTTTTCTTTACAGAAAATAATGACCATTTGAAAAGAGCAGAAAAAACCCCTTGAATCTAATGGCCCTAATTTTGACAAACACAGCAGTAATTGGAATATCTGCAAACAAGAATTGTATTCAGAAAAAGGCTGTTATTTATTAATTATATTTACACTAAAAAACAAATAAACAAAACGCCCAAACCAGCTAGATTTTAAAGGGGAGCATAACATCAAATTTCTTGGGGAACATTGGTCCTGTTACTTTTTGTATCATTGTGAACAATGTCAGACAAACACAATTCTCAATCTCTCCTTCTTTTTTAAACACAACGTAACAGGATGATTTGTTCAGAGAAATGCACAAGGCAATCACTACAAGCATCAGCATCCCAATTTTACATTACACCACTTGTGACAAGATCTGAGGAAGGAAGTAAAAACCAACGGCAGCGATGACATTTTCAGACTGAGTTACAAGAGGGAGCAAGGGGATGGATATCACAGTACAGCTTGCACAGTACCTCCTCTTCACTTTGAAGTTTGCTTGAGGCTGTGCTGGGCCGGTAAGGTTCAGCAGTGGGTTACCACTCAGAATGTTCTCCATCCGAATTCTTTCTTCTTCAGCCTTTTGCTCTTGTTCCTGAGAACCAGAAATGGATACATTACTTTTCTGGGCCATTTTTCTCATCTAGTTGGTAGAGATAAACATTATTAGCTGCAAACACCCACACAGATAGAGCTTTAATTCCTAGCTCAGACTTTTCAGAGCGTTTGACACGCGTATCAGTAGAATAAGGATAGAAGCAGAGATACTCTAAAGAGCTTAACATTGCTAATAAACTGTCAATCTACCAACACTCATACCTGCTCTACTTACCTCTGATGTTCCACCAAATATTCAGTTAGATTCTAGCTTTACCATTTACATATTTATTATATTAAAAACTGTATACAGATTAAAAGATTTTTTTTATCCTCAGGAGAAAAGAGAATACATTATACAATACTCATTAGGTGGAAGAAACCTTACAGTATGTTGAAACTTCTCTATCATCTTCAGCAATCCGCTTGGGTTTTACAACTACAACTTCCCTAGGGACCAGTTAAAAAGAATACTGAGAAACCTAAGATGAAACTGAGCAGTGGATGTCATCAGACTATGTAAGAGTTCCAATATTAAGGATCAGAAAAATTTTCTTCTCCCTGTACTGTCAAAAGCATGTAACTCAAGCCTAAGTGAAGCACTGCACTACAGGCAACACAAAGTAGATTTCACTGCCCACGCTTCCAAGCTGTATTAATATATTTAGTGACTTAAATGTTCACAGACTTCAAAATGAATACATAATATTCATTTTACATCAACATATTTTCCACAACCTTTCAAATGTATTACAAGGACTGCTCTTTGATGAAAGTACCAGAAGGAAAAAAAAACAAACCCAATTCTTTAATTTGGATGACTGACTAGGTCTCCCGCTCCCTGTATGCTGAAGTATAGTCTGGACATTCTACTTAAAAAATGCACTGAAGTCTCATTAGCACTACAGGAGACTCAAACCATGGCTTTTAAAAATGACACAAACTAAAGACAAGGAGATCACAAGGTTGGTGTGTTTTTTTTTTTTCCCCAAACTGCAGAAAATTCATGGCTGAGGGCTGCTATGGGATCCCAAAAGAGGAAATGTTTTTCTTGATGATAGCCTTTACAAGGTTTAAGTGCTAAACTTGAACACTGATGCTAGCCAGAGTTCTCTAGCTTCAAACATTTAATCAATACTAAGTGATATATTACTAAAACTGTCTACAATTTACAATGTTTTTCAATTGGACTGATCAGGTATGTGGAATATTCCTATAAAACACCCCAACCCTCTTAAGAACAATACCAACTTAACATATATACAAATACCAGATGATGCAGGATCACTGGTAAAGATTTTACCTTTCAAAATCTACTCAAGTTTTAGTTATGAGAAAACACCTACCATTACACTGCTTCTCACAAATAAAATTTAGAACCAGCTGCAATTAATTGCCAGTGGGATGGGAAAAGCTCCCCAAAAGGGCATATTGCTTAAAAGCATAGCACAGCCCTGTAACGCCCTTATTAGAACATGTGTGCAGGCAAAACTTGCCCTTGCTGCTGTATCCATGGAGCTTTCACAAACCACAGCAGTTCAAAGTCATTAACACAAATAAACTAAAGTTTTGCATTTTCAAACATAGCTCTAAATCCAACATTTGCATTCCAACTTCAGTTGTTGTTACCATCCCAGTAAATACGGAAACACAGAGAGCAAAAATATTTGTTATGGAACAGTAATTTCCCCATATTAGAAATACAAATTCCAATTATACATTTCTTTCCTCTGTGGATTACAGACAAGAATTGTACGTAGCTTCTTTTGCACAGCATGCCAACCTTTGATTTACCATCTTCTTTCCCCGTAACATGGAGGAGCCAACAGCAGTGAAATCTGATTTACTGCAGTCTGTGTTGTGTTCCCACCAGAAGTCAAGCAGCTCTCAGACTACTGTACAGCACATGCAAAGCACTAATTTGAAACCAAGCAAAATCTAAGATACTGGTACAAGCAAAAAAAATCAGTATTGATTTTCAGGTACCTCCCAAGAGGTGACCAGATTCTGTTTAAGCCCATCAGGCAAATTTACAACAGGATGCAAGCATGTGAAGTGTTCTCTGTGTTGTCCAAAATGAGGTGGGCTCTGCCTCATTAAATTTAATCTCTGACACTCCATTAAAAGTGAGACTTTGAAAAAACAAGAGGTCTGGGATAAATCTTAAAACCAAATAAGAATGCTACAAACCAAAAATTCATACTGGACTATATTCAAGAGAAGGTAGCACTAGTAAGAGCATTGTAAGAAATTAATACTCCCCTGTTGACAAACGCTTCTGTAGCGAGAACTTCTTCCAAGTCCTATATATGCAAACAGACACAGCATTTTCCATTTTAGAGCTGAACTCCAGGGAACCTTTCTCAAGGTGGCATGCAGAGCCATGGCACAGTCTTGCCCTCAAATTTCTAAGACATTAATCTCGGCCGTGATCCAAAGTTACTGAACCTGTGCATCATGCACCACTTTATCTGGGGCACACATAAATATCTTATGCTGTTTTTTTTTATGATGCCTGAAAATGCATCCACACACCACTGACAAATACAGAACTACAATGCACTCCACACACAGTATTTATTCGATGGTCAAAAGTCCACTGGAATCAGTCAGCATCTTTTTTTGGGGGAATTACAGTTGTTCTCCCCTCTCTTCCCCCGTTTCAGATTTAATCTCAACAGCTCCTAAAAAGCATTCTCTACCATGCATAAAGAGAAGTGAAAAGCACTGTCATTCGAATCACTAGAAGATAAAGTCAGTATTAATAATGAAAAAATATGCATACAGTAGTAACTACTCCAGTGTTCTTACTACACACAGATGCACATTTAATTTTTCTATAATAAGAATTTAAAAAGGCATCTTAGGCATCATCCTAACTTTTATCTGCTTTACGTAACCCATGTAATATTCTTCAGCCTCAATTAGCCTGACATAGTTCGCTTTCTGATAAAAAAAGCATTATCAGACTGAAGTGACAAAATGTGGTGATAGGCAAAAAAAAAAAAAAGAAAAGAAAAATTGAAATAACACTTTTAAGAAGCATTACACTATAAGCAGTAGTATAAGCCTAAGAGCAGGATTTAACTCCAGATTAAGACACCTACATCTAGGTATCTGCTTGTAGGCATCTGAGCTCACATCTCAGCAGAGATCTAGAGAATACAATAAGGAGTCAAGATGGCTCTTCTGCTCACACTAAATTACACACACGGGAGACCAACCACGCTCCAGGCTCTACTGACTGCATCTCCACTGCGCCACCATGGAAGCTGGTATACATGACTTGCACATTGACCCCAACTCCAACAACTTGGCATTTCAAGCTCAGTTGAATTCTGTCTAAAACTGCTAATTGCTAGCAAAAAACTACATTGACTCAAGTCAACCACAATTCCAGAGGACTGGAGGGTAGCAAAAACTGCACTATAACCAAAAGAAATGGTAGGGGCAATCTTGGGAATTTCAAATGGTTACATTTTACTTTTGCACCTATTAAATTATTAAGAACAATTATGAACACAACGCTAACAGAAGCTGTCAAACATTCTTTTATAGTGACAACAGTTACAGAAAACATCATGCATCTTATTTTCAAAGCTTGATTTTCCCTACTGCCTGTCAGGGATGCTGCAGAGCCCTGGGCACTTGTGCAGCCATTTGCTGTTTCTCAGCTCTGTTCACAAACAGAACTCTGCTGTCTTTTAGACCCGCAGAGGCAGCACAACTAGAAGTAGTCACAACCTGTATAAGCTTATCTTTGTCATTAAAGATCAACAGATTAGAGTCTGAAAGCAAACAGGGAACAGATCTGTTGAGTAAGGCATCGCCAGTTTTAGGCACTTTACAAAGACGACCCGGCGCACATGGTAATTTATTTACAGAATTCAGTCATTCAAAGCTGTTCTAGGTTGGATGACATTTCAACGTATTTGCTACAAGTTTTAGGAAGCAGGCTAATTCTGAAGATTAGTCTTGAAGATCTTTTGTACTATTTATCTTCACTAAAACCTCCCAAAGAAGGTATTCAAGATTAAAAAAAAAAAAAAAAAAAAAAAAAAAAAAAAAAAAAAAAAAAAAAAAAAAAAAAAAAAAAAAAAAAAAAAAAAAAAAAAAAAAAAAAGTAATTTATTAAGTTTTGTATCTTAAAGACATGACATGGGAGGAAATACTAGGTGTAACTCACAGTGGTGTAAAGTTGACATTTATGCTTGAGCTAAGTTGTACATTTTGGCCAGAGCTGCAGAATCCCTCATCTCCAGCCAAATGAGGTTTTCATTATGTTTCAGAATTTTCCACATAAATCTTCCATTGCCCACTCCTCCACTGAAAGCTGGGATGCTCCAGGCGATGGAGCATGGGTTGTATCAAATCAAACAGACCAGACATAACCTTCATAGCTGTCTGAGCTTCACACCTCTGAGGCACGACCAAGCACAGCTGTTCACAAAATAAGCGGCTCGGGTTGCTCCAAAGTCTACATTGTTCTTTTGTGTGGTGGAACAAAGGCTTATTAAGCTCAAACACTGTGGATACAACAAACCCGCAACAGAAGAAAAGCCTAAGGGGGGGAAATAATATTTCTCTATTCACTCCACCTTTTCTAAAATAATGACTCTTTGCCTGCCTTTCCATTCAGCAAGACAAGGTATACAACTCTCTTCCTAAGCCACTTTAGCAAAAAAACATGCTACAGATTATTCCATCGCTACAGACAGCAGCATTGTGCTTTTCAATGGCAGCGTGTTGCACCAACTATCTGCAGAGATGAATCAGAAGTCAACCATGTTGTGACCACTGTGTTAGAAGCAGAGGCAATAGAACAGGAATATTATGGTGTGGGGAATAAGGCTGGACTGGCAGAGGGAGTCCCATATCCCGAGGAAGCAGATGGAGGTGCTGCTATGTGAATTAGATCTCAAAGCAAACCTCCACTGTACAACTGAACTCACCATGTGGCATCACAGTTGGGGGGAAAAAAAAAAAGCAGACAAAACTATATTAACCTTAACTAAACAATTATTCCTTATCTTGCTGTAAGAATAACAGTCCCTTGGCATATTTGTTTCTGACCGCAAAGGAAAGAAAAACATCATTGTTACCATGGTTATTTTTTTTAGTATAGTTCCTACCCTTAGCACAGAGCAAGATAATTTTTACAGAAAGTGCTGAAATTCCTGAAATGACTCCATTGTATTAAAGTAACTTGTCCTGTTCAGTTTTTGAAGATGTTGAATAGCTGAAAGAAAACCTGAAATACCCACATTTCACTGAAGGCTGGGGGGGAAATCACATAACTTTATTTAAATGCTAATTTTTGAATGACGAACTATGACAGCACTGCCTTTAGCAGCAGGGAACAAAACTTAATAATGCAGAGATCCACCCCAGTTATTTGATCCTATGCAAATTACTAACTCAATGCAATATAGCGATTCAAATTACTGATTGAAACTTCAAAAATAAGAGCACGGAGTAATCACAACTGCAGTGCCTATACGCAGATTTGTTGTCATTTTACCCACAAGGGAGAGGACGTTATTGTTAGTTCTTGGCAAGGGTAAGTATTGCTAGCATGTCTCAAACATTTAATGAAGAAACATACTCTGCTATCTGCTTGTGCCTCTTTATTAAAATTCTTTCTTAATCACTGATTTGATATTCTAGTTTTAGTTAGACCCTTAAAATTTAAGTGAAAAGGTTAATATCTATCAAGATTCATTTTCTAATGTTTTATTTGAAACTCTGTGACATGGCTAAAACACAGGATAGAGCTAAGATCTATTCTGACCATTGGTAAGGTAATTTATTCAGTTATAGAGAAACACTTGGTGAAATAAAACTTTAAGAAAACAAACCAAAAACTTAAGTCTGTTCTCAGATAAGCGTAAAATGACTGGATGTTAAAATAGCTTTGCTGGAACTGCACATATACATTCAGCTGCTCACTGGTTTGAGGTTTGTTTTTAATAATTTCAATTTACCTTTTAAGGAAGTGCTTGAAAATTGAAAATCAAGAGCATTGTAATGCTGAATTTGGAATACTGAAATGTTTCCATGAAACCTATCCGTGGATAGTTCACACAGACAGCAGACCTAGCATTTGTACAGTTTTAGGCAGACCCAGAATTATTCCACAGAAACGGCTTTCAAAACTAAAATTTCCTGGTCAGCTTAGCGTCTACTAGAAACAACCTGAGAGATTAAAATTATGAAGGGCGTGAGAAAAGTCAGGAGGATTCCCATGCTCAATCAGTTTTTAAAAACATTCCTAGTATTTATTTAATGTTTCTACAGAATTCAAGGCAATTTAAGCATTTTGAGACATTAACAAGCTTTGACAGCAATTGCTTATTTGGTTGACAAACTATTCGCTTCACAGATTAAAGGGAAATATCAGTATGAAGGAAGCTAGAACCTCTTAATACTAACATTTGTCAAAATCAGATTTAGAGGATTTCTTTGGAAATTAGTATTACCACATAAGGCAAGTTAACAGAGAGCATGATGATCTGAAAAAAGCAGATTCTCATCTTTCCTTTTTAACTGCTGTCTCATCAGAGATGCATTTTAAAAGGAGCAGTCCTTCTTTCATGGCAACTTAAATACTGGACACCAAAGTGATGAGTGAAAACAGTTAACAAAAATACAGTTTACTTCATATGAAGTCTCAGAAATAATTGGATTAGTGTTTTAATAAATCAAAATAACTAAAGTGTCAGGAAAAAAAGTGTACATATGGCACAAATTCAGGATATATTACTGTATTTTACCCACTTCATCTTGTTAAGACCCTGGTATGTTCCAAGAAGATGCAGAGACTTGTTAATCTGTCTGTATAACAACAATGAGATTTGAGAACCACGTGCAGAAGAGTGAAGAGGCATTCACTCTGCAGTTTCCCTTTGCCTTGCCACTGGTTTACCCATGCTGTCTACTACGAACAGCAATGTTTCAGCAGATCCCTGAACGTGGATTAGGACTAATAGCGACTACACAATTAAGACTTTACATGAGATCTTATCCTGAAGTCAGCTGGATGACTAATATAAGGTTACTTACAAAATTAGGTTTAAATTATGGTTTGCAATACATAATAATATGAAATCCCACATATCTGAAGGGAAAAGGGATTTATATAAAATGGCCACAAAATGCTTTGCCAGTAATGCCTTATTTCAAAGCCATAGAAAACAAGGCATAATCTAAACAGATTGCACCCCTAAAGCCAACATACATAAGTAATCTTTCCTAAGGAGACCCTTACTCCCAAAGACTCTTTCCAAGGCTGCACCACCTTGGTTTTTACTTTTTTCATCGATGTAGTCTTAGTTTCCTACTCTGAAAAAAACCCAAGAAAATAAAATTCCAAGTACCTGTAGAGCACTCCTTATTAATGAAGATGTCAATTTTTAAGAGAGCCTATCAGCCACCAATCAGTGAAAGGATGAACAGAGTAGGTGGTGAGTGTGCAATAGTGTGCACTATTGCAAATAAATAACGTTTATTTTTAGGAAGAAATAAACGTATTCATTTCAGAGAAGCGTGCAAGTATTCAGTATGCACGTAGCACTGGCCATTATAAACCCTGCTTCTGGGGGAAGAAGAACATCCATGAAGGTAAAAAATAATACCAGTTAAGAGACAGCAAAATAAAACAAGTGCTATACTAAATACTTCATAGCTTTTAGCACCCTCTAGTGACAAAGTAAGAATTTCATAGCGACGATAACATTCCTGCTTTCTACACACGAATAGAGAAGCATGCACTTGGTTGCCTATACTGCAATTTACTACCATTATTTTCCTAATGCAAGTTTTCTACACTGAAATGTGACAAGTTATGCTGTTTAATCTAGATGTATAATTTCAACTATCAGGCAAAGTGAAAAATCCATACAGATCTAAGCTTTCATTTTAAGCACTGTGCAAGAACAGCTGAAGTAGAAGTCTTTCCTACACATTGCTACCCTTAATTTGTAGTTTAGTACATTTCACACAGGAATACATGGAAGAATTGTTGCCAGTGTTTTTAAGTAATTTTCACCATGGTACTACTGCAGAACACAATTTCATTGCTGCATGATGTGCTTCAAATGCCTAGATAAAGAGATGAGAGACACTTTCGGGCATACTTTAATGTAAAAGACCACTCATAGGCCAGATGGAGAACCAAGTATCAATAGTCTCCTACAGCAAAATTTCTGCACTGAAGCAGCATGGTACAGCTTTTAGCCTTCCAAAGTACTTAACTCCAAAATTGCAGAGGTTTTGGAGGCCTTGTTGATTCTAAAGGTAAATGTCTACATTGTTAGCCAAGAGTGGTCAAGCACTACATTGCTGCCTACAGAATTTAAAACATATTCTCTCCTAGCTGTTCCTAGTGTCTGCTAGATCGTACGTCCTGTTCACTGCCCGTTGACTCTAAGCATTTGTGAAAAACATGAAACTATAAGCATGCGTGTTAAGCTATGATAAGGTTATGAGTAGTGCAGAGGCACCAAAACATTAAGTTGTCACAGCAGCAAAGATCCTGATCAGCATTTAATATGTTTATTTATCATGTTCTAAAAACATCTCAGATTACCTTATACAAAGACGACAAGGTTGTTTTTTGGTTTTGTTTTTGTTTTTTTACACTGATGTAGAATCCACATATAACATCACAGAAAACTACTCAAACTGAAGTATGCAACATTTTCCAAAACCATTAAAATGATTTAAGCCCTACTCAAAAAAAAAAGAAAGTGCTTACTAAAAGCGGAAGAGAGAATGCTGCACATATCCACCACTTCTGTTGCACCACCAGAGGCAGAGCGTTTCAGTAGTGCAGATGAAATAGCTGGACTCTAAACTCTGTTGCAATACAATGTTAGAGCCAGTACAGTTCATCCTAAGTCCTGATCAGTTTGACAACATAGACTATTCCCAGAAACAGTCCCTAGAAGTCCATTCATCAATCAGGGATTTTGCTAACGTACTCCATCCCAACATCATCTCTTACACCAAGGAGGCATGGGAGCCAATGGCATGGGATTTGATCCCACTCATGGGAAAACAATCTCTAACTACAGGGACTTCCTTCCCCTTTCAAGGGCAGAACACGGTGTTTCTATCTGTAGAGAGAGATTATATGGAGGTATGAAGGCTACATGTGAGTTGACTTTCCAAGTTCTGAAAAGACTGCCATATTATTAGTAGTTTTTGTGGAGACATTTTTCAAATAAACTCGCCTGTGTATAATCACACGAAAATAGTTCTGGTCTTACGGTTACAACTGGTGCTCCTTGCCAAGGCAACGCACCACCAATGCTGTGAAAGAGCAACTACTGTATAAAACTTGCAGCCATCAGCAAAAGCTCACAAAGCACACATATTTTTCTTTCATAAATGTATATATATTAAAAAAAAAAAAATTCTTATTTCATAAAAGCTAGTTAACAAATGAAATTACACTGGATAGTATGTAGCTCACTAATGCCACTATATAGTTTGGTAAGATAGCTGTCTTCAGAGAAGGACTTGCATATGAAAAGCAAGATTATCTTGACTCAATGCCTCTACAAATTGTTGGGAAAGCAAATAAAAAGTTTTAATGAGTAGAATGTTCAGTATGTCTACTGAAGAAAAAAATTCTTGACAACAATTAATAGACAGAAGAACAAATCCATCAGACTCTACTTGAGAAGAGTTTTGAAGGGCACTTACTTTGTTTACTAGTTCTCACTCGTCCCAAGTACTTAAGGCACACCAGTTTTAATAAACACTAGTTTTCAAAAAACAGATGCTCTTTAATGGGTGAGATTTTACCTTTCGAGCCTGTTCCTCAGCTCGTTCTTTCTTGATTTTTTCCAGTTCAGCCAGAAGAGCTGCAGTGTCATCATCATCACTGTCGTCCAAGTCCTCATCTTCATCATCTTCCTAATAGCAACAAACAGAAACAAGAAGCAGCTCATTCATTTCATTTAATAAAAACAGCCCTGGTCTGCCCAGCTAAGGCTGCAATTTGCTGCTGGCTAATTTCTGAAGCACTTGGGTGACTGTAGCAGCAGCAAATACAATACAAATGGTTTATTTACTCTTGTACAGTAAAGTCATGACAAAAATATGTTTGTGCTTTTTGGATGACTGCAATTGATTTTTTATAATTCAAATGCTATGTAGCTGACAGATTCTAGAGAATTACTGTCCTCAATCACTCTCTAATCATTGTAATGTAAGTCATTATAACAGTGTGCCCAAATACCCCGTCCAATATTGTTGGGACCAAATATAACGGGATTAAAAAAAAAAGCTCAGCTTACTGTCAAGCCTTAGACCTAACTCCTAGGTGTCAGCATGAGGAGAGGAGCCAAGAGCAAGAATCCATTGCTCATATAGACAGTCAGTGTATCTCAACAGTTCTACCTTAGGGGAATTCTAACTAACCCAGTAGTTGACAGAGTCTAAAAAGTCACCCATTCCCCACACTTTAAGTGCTATTTTCAGTTCCCTAGTTTTTGTGTGCTTTCCAAGAATACCATTAGAGCATGGACCAGAACGCTCTCAACCACTCTGGACTTCCACCACAGCAGAGTAACTGTAAAAGGAAGGTATGTTGGAACCTGTCTTAAATCTTTAGCAGATCTAAAAGTACATATCCTATTAACAGCAAATCCTGAAGGCAGGACAATGAAAGGAAGTAAGGCAGAAAAGAGATACATACATCAGTAAGCGGATCATCTGCATCAAGATTTGCTGCAGGAATCTGGTCTAGCCGAGGCTTCTTAGACACAGAAGATGATGTTGTGTGTTCTATGGCATAAGATTTTTTTTAAAAAAGTGATTAAGTCATTTCATTTAACAGCATTTAATGTCAGAAGGCAAACATCTTCACAAAGATTGCATTAGAGTAAGAGATGCAAGCTTATGCTTACTTTTTCCTCACTTCTCAATCTTAATGCCCATGCTAGTTTCTCCCCTGGAGGTATCCTCAAGGAAGCAGTAACATCCCCAAACTTACAATTTGGCCTCCGAAAGTTTTTTGAAGTAATTATTTCAAGAAGAAAGAACAGCAGAAGAAAAAGCTGTGGAGAAATATCCTTATCCTATATCTCCAATTAGGGGGGTTCCCATTGGAGACCACCCCAAAGCATTACTGTTGGCCAGTTTGGTCGAAACCAAATCCGCTTTTGTCTGTGAACTTGAAAGCCCTGCAATACCTCTGTACATTTCACATCTAAACCTGAAGTACCTAAATTCTGTCAAGCTTAATATTATAAATGACTATTTCTCAAAAAACATACCTTTGATTGATTTTAATTATCGCTTCACTATACCTGAACAGAATCGCATACTTTAAAAAACGGATTTATTGTTACACTGGTGCTGCAACACTAGAAGATGAGTCATTCCCCTTCTCCTTCCTGTCTCGCTTGTCCAAATACAAAAAAAGCCCTTTATTAGCTGTACACACTTGTTGCCAATTCATTACAATCATACTGTATCAGCTGGCTTGCATGATGGCCTACGCTTTTCTACTGGCTGGCCTAGATTTTTTGCTAGCACGAAGCCAGCATGAAAGCCAGCTGACATTCCCTTGCAGGTCAATGGCTCTGAACTATCAGACCAGTACCCTAAATTCTACTCTCATGACATGCTGTCTGCAACCTGCAAACTTCCTACAACACCAAGTTTTGTGCAAGGGCGATGCCACACAAAGGTATTAAGATTTTTTGTTTCTTTGGTTTTACCTCTGGTTGGTCTGTCTCTATTCTTTTCTCTTGCAGCAACCCGTTCTCTCTCCTCCAGCTCCCTTCTGAAATCACGGTTACGCACCTCTTCAGGAGCATCCTGAGTGGTCTGTCTAAAACAACATGAGGGCAGGGGAAAAAGCTGAAGTTGACAGTCTGCAGCTGGGAGCAATTTTTTGAAGGAGGTCAATAAATCCTGAACAGGTAAGTATAAAGAATAGGAACTGGGTACCATGTAGACATATGTTTCTTTATTCTCTCTTCATCAGCCCCCTTCTCTGCATGCATTACACACACACAGACACGCAATGCCACACACACATGCTCCTTCCAGTGGCTCTCAAATTAATTAAAAGACCCTACATAAATTCCTGCAAAACTGGGATGACTACATCTACCTCTTGTAGCTATGTCTAAATCTTCTGTTCTCCAGCAGTCCAAGCCCAGTGTCCTAGCAGACATCCACCAGCATTATGGTCAACTTTCCTTGCCGTTTTATCATCCCAAGTTGCTACTGCAAACACAGTCTCTAAGGCTTACAGATAAGACCAAGACTAGAACATACTTTTCATAAACCTTTTCCCTTCCAAGAGACATATGAGATAATCTCACATGACCATAAAAAAAAAGTTGGGAGAACAGGCACAACACTAGCTTTAGTGCAACATATTGCAAATACATGTTTTTCCCTCTTTTATATAACACACACTGGCCAAAAGCAACAGACTATTTATATTTGAGTCATACTAAGTTCTACCTAGAGAGCACTGAATTTTCTGTGGAAAACTTGAAAAGAACTAATGAATAAAAACAAGCAGCAGTTCCTTTCACCTTTCTGTGAACCCAGTGCTGGAAATAAGAGTGCCTGGAAGAAATCCAGACTTGAGCCATTATAAATACATTGTGTGCACAGCCTGTCTTTATGATGAAGTATTTCATTTGCTTTTGTAATTAAAAACCTGAACTTGGAATCCCTGATATAGCTGCAAAATCTTCCCAAACCTTGTGTTATTCAAGCAAACACAAGCAGGACCGAAACACTGAACTTTTCCTGCAATGATACAGTCCTGGCAATTTAACAAAGACAACTTTGTATTAGGTACTTGGGAGAAAGAACAGAAGACACTTAATGCCCCCTCCACCTCTCTCTCACACACACACACGGAGGGATTTGTTAAAACATACATTGTATATTCCTGTACATATTTGTCCCCACACACTTCTTTCAAAGCAACAGACTGGTGTTCCAAACCCCATTTTATTTAAAGAAACAAACCACCAGCAATTTTTCCCATAATAGCAAAATGCATTTGACAGCACTTTTTGTGCTGTTGATTTTGCTATTCTCCAAAGCACTCCAACTCCCTCATCCATATGTATTCTTCAAAACCAAAGGGGCAGGAGGGAAGAGGTGAAAGGGTAAACACTTGCACAAAAAAGTGCAAATGTAAAACCTTAACAGTAATTTCACTGACAAGAGTAGCATCAGCGAGATGAAAAAACATTTCTAGGCTGACACATTTCAGTTGAATTCCAGGTATCTGTATCACATTGACTCCAGATTTCATTTCATCTTTCAACAGGATCACGAAGATTTATTACGCATTTCAAACAGAAGAAAATATTCATAAGATCCTGTTATCTTGCACACTGATTAAAGCAGCCTCCTCCCCCAGGACCTGCATGAACCACTTGCAGTGTCTAACATCAGCTCTTCTAACACATACTACTGCCTGAGTGCTATTCCATGACTCCCCTGCCTCCTTTTAATGCCCTTCCCCAGCGGTCCTTTGCCAAATATATGACGTGGTTTTCCTGCTTTTAAGACGTGCTCAACTTCACTCCACTTATCCCATTCTGCTCTGCAAGTGACAGCACCCTCAGTGGCTCAGTCAGCTCCTACTGTTCCCATTCTTTCCACTGCACTGCCTGAAATGCTTTGTTTCCAAAGCTCACCTTCTTCTGACAATTCAATTCCATAAGCAGTAATAAATACCACTAAAATGAAACCTCTCCAATTACTTGCAATGCATTTGATCTCTTAAGTCTGCTTTTGAGACCTGCGCTTTCAGCCCACTCATTCCACGCTGCTGCACAATCTCCAGTGCCTGCTCAGTGTCAAGCACATGAATGTGTGAAAAATTTCAGAGTACCACTCACAACAAAAAAAACATTCCCAGCCTGTTTTGCCATAAGACCAAAAAACCCAATATTAACCTGTATTTGATTTTAGTATGAGAAGGAAGGTCTCTGCTGGAATATTGTTTGGATAGCTGACTTAAGTCTCCTTCACCTTTTCCTCTTCCTCCTCTTGCAGGTTCAAATGTTGGCCTCGCTGCTGTCGTCATTTTAACTACTACAGAATCAAGGATAAAAACCAGTTGTTACTACAATGTACAGTGAAAGACATTCACCAGAAGCTACGTTGTTCCTGAAACTGTAGCAGCAATGTTAAGTCCCACTACACAATACCAGCTATCACTTGCCACATGACCCTCAAAATTTAAAGAGCTTTTTATTGACAGAATCTATTCAGATTTTCAAAAGAAAGTCTTTTCACATGTTTGAAAGATGATACACAGACTCTAACAAGAATGTGATGCTATGTTTATAAAGTAAATAAAATGCCCAGGAGCCAATCTCCTATCTTCAAGTCAAGTGGTACAGTCTCGTAACTGAACTCTTTTCCCTCCTGAAAAACGACAGCCAGAAATGACCGCCTACTGGGAATGACCCCTCTGTTATTCCCCAAACTGTATCTAGGTATCATCACCAGAAATGCTGGCTAACACAGACCATAGCATGCCTAGGATGGTGTTGATAATTAAATACTGATGAAGATCACGCACTCTGAATGCTCCAGCCCTCATCCTGGCCCTGTTCAGTCCTCTGGTACAGGCACAGCACTGTCATTAATACTGCAGCACAGTCGTTTGGGATCGACCTGAGCAGAGCTCCAGCTGGCCACCAAAACTGTCTGAAGGGCCAGGGTTAATGTTTCTCTGGTACCACAACGCCAACAGCTTTACCCTTATATAAACTGCGTGCAATTAACAAAGCTCGGACAAATGCGGCAGTTTTCACCAGCTCTCATGTAGAAACTACAAGAACTCACATACCACCAGCATGTCCTAAAAATGAACTAGCTGGTGCCTGAAGTTGCTACTATCAATTCTTCTGTGGCAAAGGAGTGAAACAGGCGCCGACCAGCCTCAGCCACACAGACACCCTGTCAGCATGCACTGTGTTCAGCGCTGTCAGACAGGAGACCCTGTAATCCTAAACCGCTATGCCAAGAGTTTAAGATGGTCAACCAATGCCAAAAATACCCTGTATGATCAACCTGTGCCGTCTTAAATCTATTATCTGAAACTATGCTCATTCCTGCTTCACCAAGACATGCACCTCCGTTAACCACAGACTAAATATATACAAGACACGAGAGACACATCTGCAGAAGTACATAAAGGCACCAGTCCTACCGACCAGAATGTTGGATGTTAAAGGATGACAAGACAACATTTTAAAGAATATTAAAAAGCAGAGGGAAAAAAATTATATTGTTCCATATGCTTTTGTGATACACAAATAAAAGTCATTTATGCTCTGCTTGCATTATTTGCTGTTGTTTCATTTTTAATGAGATCACAAAACACATGACTTTAGCGTTAAAATCATAAAATAGATTTGTCGTTCAAAGTAACATCCCATCAGGCAGAACACAGTTACTGTCACTGAACTGCTACTCAAAAAACAGAGTTAACAGACAGAAACGCCTTTAAAAAGAACTGAGACAGTAACTAGCCTTGGCTCATTGACCAAGGATTGCTGACACTTTGCAGTGACGCTGTGCAACTCAGCTGGAGCTCAGCAAGACATTTCAGCTCTGTCTTGGCACACACTCTGCTGGACCCGCAATCCAAGAAAGCCACACGTTCTCAGAACTCATTTGTGTTAATTATACGTAAGGGGGGGGGGGGGAATCCATGAGTTCAGGTGAAGAATCAGATACAACATGACTGCATAGTTTCATGAGGCATTAAATCTCCAGGAAACTGTCCCTGCTTCTTTCTCAAGTCAGTTTGCACTTGGCTTGACCTTAAAGGACCCAAACTCAACCCGAAACCACTCAGGGACTGTCACACTGACCTCTTAAGTTTCAGAAATACAGCCTTAGAGAACGCTCTTTAGTGCTACACGAAGGCAGGACCGGCCAAGCAGGGTTCATTAGCCTGAATACAAGCCGAGAGAAAGTGACTGGGCTTGGGCTGGAGCCGAGCTGCCCCGGCCACGCAGCGCTGCACATCCCCGCTGGACCCCTCCTGACCACCCCTCACGGGGGAGCCCGGACCCGGCCACAGCCCGCCCCAGCAACCACCCCGCGGAAACCCAGACCGCAGCAGGAGCGGGGCTGGAGCACCGCGCTGATCCGCCTCCACCCAGCGGGTTCCCTCACACCGCCTGGTACCTGGAGCTCCACCGTGAGGCCCGCAG